GAACCAATCTGTAAATTTCACAAACTGCCTAATTCCACATAAATGACATTCTATGTCTTTATATAAAGATAGCCACTAGAAAACAATGCAAGTGTTACCAAACACCAAAAGAAAAGCAAAAATTGAAACAACAACAAAGTGAAAAACAAAAGAAAACATAATAAAATACTTTGAATATATTTAACTTATACTTGATAAACTAGAATATGTTAGTAGTAAGGAGATAGGCTCAGTGGTAAATTCCTGTAGTCTCAGATGTTTGGGAGGTTGAGGAAAAAGTATGGCTTGAGCCCAGGAGTTAGAGGCCAGTGGCAATACAGTAATACATGGTCTCCAGAAAACAAAAACAAAGTAAAAAAAAGTGAAATAAATATAAGTACTAGGAAAAAAATCAATTTTTCAAAAAATGTAAATACCTAAACAGTTATTATCAGTTAAAGAGAAGTGGCATTATAAGTAATAAAGAAAAACCTAACTTACCATTACATTAAAAAGACAAAACTAAAACAAAGACTGAGGTCTTAAGATACCATCTCACTCCAGTAAGATTAGCAGCCATTATGAAGTCAAACAACAACAAGTGCTGGCGAGGATGTGGGGAAAGGGGTACTCTTGTACATTGCTGGTGGGACTGCAAATTGGTGCGGCCAATTTGGAAAGCAGTATGGAGATTCCTGGGAAAGCTGGGAATGGAACCACCATTTGACCCAGCTATTGCCCTTCTCGGACTATTCCCTGAAGACCTTAAAAGAGCGTACTACAGGGATACTGCCACATCGATGTTCACAGCAGCACAATTCACAATAGCTAGACTATGGAACCAACCCAGATGCCCTTCAATAGATGAATGGATAAAAAAAAATGTGGCATTTATACACAATGAAGTATTATGCAGCACTAAAAAAGGACAAAATCATGGAATTTGCAGGGAAATGGATAGCATTAGAGCAGATTATGCTAAGTAAAGCTAGCCAATCCCTAAAAGACAAATGCCAAATGTCTTCTTTGATATAATGAGAGCAACTAAGAACAGAGCAGGGAGGGAGAGCAAGAGGAAAAGATTAACATTAAACAGAGACATGAGGTGGGAGGGAAAAGGAGAGAAAAGGGAAATTGCATGGAAATGAAAGGAGACCCTCATTGTTATACAAAATTACATATAAGAGGTTGTGAGGGGAAAGGAAAAAAAAACAAGGGAGAGAATTAAATTACAGCAGATGGGATAGAGAGAGAAGATGTGAGGGGAGGGGAGGGGAGGGAAGGGGGGATGGTAGAGGATAGGAAAGGTAGCAGAATACAACAGTTACTAATATGGCATTATGTAAAAATGTGGATGTGTAACCGATGTGATTCTGCAATCTGTATACGGGGTAATAATGGGAGTTCATAACCCACTTGAATCTAAAGTATGAAGTATGAGATGTCAAGAGCTATGTAATGTTTTGAACAACCAATAAAAAAAAAGAAAAAAAAGAAAATACAGAAAAGAAAAGTGGGAAAAAGATCCAAGTGTCATATTTAAGATGCCAAAAAACTGAGATGGAAAATTATTAAACATAAAATATAGCTTTTTTACCAGTAAAGCCCAAATTACAGTAATAATAATAAATTATTTATATGAATATTTATAAAATGTGAACATCAATGAAATAAGTACCATTAGTACTATTAATAAAATTATAGGAAATATGAGGAGAAATAGAAACAATCTAAAAATAGAAGAGTATATTTTAAAGTCCAAGACATATCTGAAAGACAGAATGTAAGTAGGAGTAATAAGACAGCATCATAATAAGGTAGAACTTTAAAATGTAGACAGCAAAGCACATACTTAGATATTCTTTAATAGTATATTCTTTTCATTACACATTCACATTCATGAAAATTGATAAAATAATAAAACACAAAACAAATATTAGAAAATTACAAAATAAGAAATATATGTGCACAACATTTTATGAATCTAACAAAGTAAAACTAGTAGTTATTAACAAAAATAATACTTTGTAAAAATACCTTTTCTACTGGAAAATTAAAAACTATCCACAGTAAAGTACTCTTGAGTTAAAAACTAAGAAATCAAAGGTTCCATATATTTTAGAAAAAAATACTGAAAATATTACATATCTGTATTGATAAGATATAGCTTATATGAATTTGAAAAAGATATATGACCTTAAAATCATATTTAAGAAATTGATTTTTAAAGATAAACCAATAAATGGAAAAGATACAATAAAATAACCCAATAAAAACTGAATTAATAAAGATAAAAGCAAAATTTTGTGAGCTTAAATATTACAGAATTTAAAAAAAATAATAAAAATTTAGTTCTTTGGAAGTAAAGTCACTAATTATTAAAAATCTAAATGGAGAAAATAAAACTAAAAAATGAGAAATTTAAGGAATGAAATAACCAGAACAGAGGAAAGTTTGGAAACATAAGTTTGTTTTGCAAAATTCTATTAAAACAGATTTTACAAATATCAACATTAGCTGAGCGTGGTGGCGCACACCTGTAATCCCAAAGACTCGGGAGGCTGAGACTGGAGTATGGTGAGTTTAAAAGCCAGCCTCAGTAAAAGCAAGGTGCTAAGCAACTCAAGTGAGACCTGATGTCTAAATAAAATACAAAATAGGGCTGGGGATGTGGCTCAGTGTTTGAGTGCCCCTGAGTTCAAATCCTGGTATCCCCCCCAAAAAAAATCAAAATTAAATACATATTTCCAGGGAAAACCAACCCTAGTCAAAAAAAATTGATATTTTGTTTAGATCAGTCTCTAGAAAGATGAACAAATTTGTCAAAGAGCTACTCTACAAATAGATACCAGTAGATGAATTCACAGGGGAACCAACCACATCTAACTTTAAAACTGTGGATTATCTCCTATTTCAATGATTCCACAGCAAAGAAAACAGAGAAATTCCGAACTATTTTTAATGAATTAATCACCTGAGAAAATTGCATATTATATGCAAAAATTACACCTCAATGTTCCTAATGAATATTGATATAGAATTCCAAGTTAATATTAGATGACAGAATATTGCATATTGCAAAACGAGATATATTGTGTTCTTTCAGGGATGTAAGAATGGTTCCATGTTAGTAACTTCATTTATAAAATACCACAGAAAGGAGGAAAGAATGCTGCACCAATTACCAGAGATGCTAAAAGGCACTTGTACAAATTTGAACACCCGTTCTTAATAAATGAAAGTCAATGGAAACTGCCTTAAAATTACAAAGTACATGCAACTCAACCCATATGCCATCATTGGAGTGATTGGGAAACACTGGTGGCATTTACACAAACATCAGGAACAAGGCATAATAATGTTCACAGTTAATTTCTTTTAATGATATATTGGAAGTAATAGCCAGAACATTTAGATAAGAGATGTACCCAAATTGGAAAGAAAAAAAAATCTCTATTTCATATAATAGAATATTTTAAAAACTCATTAGAGTCAATGTGTATGAAACTACAAACTAAAAGAATTTGCTAAGATAGTAAGACATAAATTTAACAAACTGAAAAAAATCAGCAGCTTTCATATATGAAAAAAATTATTAGAAGATATCATGAAAGAGAAGATTTATATTAGCAACACAGGCAGCAGCAACAACAACACAACAATTTAAAGCCCATGAAGCAGATTAATCAAATTAGAAAAAATTTTAAATATACCCTGAATGACATAAAACTCAGACTTAAAAAAGTAAATATATATTTTATATTCTTAGAATAAATGACTTAACATTATAATTACTTAAATACTCAAGTTAATTAATAAAGCCCAGGTGAATCCAATATAAGTATCAAAAGGATTTTGTTCTGAATCTATAAAAGTTATTTATAAAGTTCATATTGAAAATTCATTTAAAATAACCCAAAAACCTAAAAATTAAATTCAATCAATGAGATCAAACACTAATTGTATATGTAAAACAATATAATTCTGAAGATAAATAACCATTAGAAAAAAAAAACAAGTTCAGAGATAGCCCCAAATACATAATGAAGTACATGATAAAAGTGACATCTTAAATTTCTGGTGGAAATTTTAAATAAATGCTGTTAGAACAACTGAGAATCATAGATAAAAATATAAACATGTACTGTACCCCAAAGTAAACTCAAAATGTATTGCACATTTTAAAATATGAAGTCATAGAGTTTCCAATAAAAAGGTAAATTTATTTACTACCTTGGAGTGATGAAGATTTTCTGATTATGACTCAAGAATTCCAAAACAACAAAGGAAAAAGTTGGTAAGTAACCATATCAACACTCACCCCTATTCTCTTTTATTTAACAACAACAACAAACCATTCGAAGTAAAAACCAAATTATTTACTGGGAAAGCTATTGGCAACTTGTTTTAGAACTTGACAAGAAGAGAAAAAAGTAATAGAAAATGTGTATAGGAGATGAAGAGTTGACAAAAGAAATGCTCATGGTGCTTTAATATATGACCCTCACCCATAATAAGGGAAACATAAACTGCAGCTAATGGAGGTCCTTCCCACTTAATAATGACTAAAAAATTCAAGAAGACTGATTCTGCTGTCTGAGCTCTGGGGAATAGGGAAGATATACTGCTGGTAGTACGCAAAATGATTCAAATCATATGTATAGGAATTTGGGAGTATGTGGAAAGATTACATAGCATTGACTCTTTGACTTAGGAATCCTACCTGGGACAATTCTGAAGATACTTTTGTCTTTAAGTGTGTGTGAGTGTATGTATATATACACACACACACACACAATTTAGTAGAAGATTAGTTAAAAGAAATTATTATATATCCAAATCAAATCACTTCTAAAGCAGCTGATAAATTTCCTAAAGCACCAAAAAGTAATATCAAGTTTGACTTTCTTATATAGATCTATATTATTTCAAATGTAAATATATTTTGAGAACTGAATAAAAAATGAAGAATAGATGCAAATTATTACAAGAACATCAAGAGTGTTATGCCTTTTACTTACGGTTTACAGTTTTGACTGGTAATATAGGGTTTACCCTCTCTGGGGAGGCAGCATTTTCCTCATCTGTCACATATTCAAAGTTAATGATGAACATCATAGCGACACCCTCTTGGTTTTTCACTGGAATTACGTGAGTGTTACAAATGAAAGTGGACCCTAAGGAGATGAAAAATAAAGTATTAGATTAAAAAAATGCCTTCATTTTACACTATCAGTAATACTAAATTTGAAATACGATCTTACAGAATTTTCTATCTTAGATAACCACTGAAATTAAAAAAAAATAATTGATTTTCACTTCATATTTTATTGCATATGTATTTACTTTATATATGTAGAAACATACATAGTTTACAGGCTAAATTTGTTAACACAGTTTTGGAAAAGTAGAATTTAAATCCTTTCAGCTTTTATACCATCCCTACAATAGTAAATATAGGGGGGAAAAGGATGTATTATTTAATTTTTTTTAGAAAAAAGCTCTTAATCTTTCCTCATATATTTGCTTTGAACCTGAACTTACATAAGGTGTGACTGTATAAACATGAAAATAATCTATTTTATAAAATCTTGATTTTAAAACCCTAAGCAAATTTTGTGATTTTTTCTTTAATTTCTTGGACATAAACTATTAAAATATAGACTTCGACTTATATATGTTCCAATTATTGTGAAAAATTCACAGTGCCCAAATTATTATGCATTTATTTGATTTTTAATATTAGAAAATAAGAACACATTTCAGTCTATAATACTGTATTCATTTGTTCCCTATTACTATCAACTACCAACACTGATCCTCTAACAGATTTATGGAATACAGTTGAGTAACTGACTTTAAAAATGACCCAACTTCTGACTGACTCCTTGGACTTGACTTCTAGTATTATCTCAAAGCACTTTACACACAACCTTCCTTTTGGAATATCTGAAAGCAGTTTACTCACATCCTCATATGATGGAAATCTCACAAGGCAGAGATTGGTTTGGGTTCTAAAATGTATTTTAAATGCAAATTATTCAGGAAGGGTTCTTGATCTCTCACAAAATAGTATTTTGACTTCTTTCTCTTTTTTTATAGCTTAGCTGAGACTTCATGAATCTTGAAGAGAGTGGTATTTCAATGTACAGGCAAAAAACAGGTTGAGAGTCAGGCTGGTCTGGCATTGACCTTAACAGGGAATTTGAGAAAGTGACTAGGACACCTGAAGGCTGGGAACAGGAGCACTGGCATGTGACAGAAAGATGCAGTTGAAGCCCCAACATCTGCAAGGGCCAGTGGGTGCTAGTAATCCAAATGATGGATTATCAAATCAGGTATGAGATAACTCTTTCCTTTCTTCCGACCCCTGCATCATGGCCCCTCCTGTTGCCTGAGCTAAGATCAAAAGCTTTTTTCTGATACTACTCTAGATTGAGGACATCACAAGGAATATTTTTTGGGGGTGGGAGATCCAATTATTATTTGTGAAACTGTTTCAGTGGGCAAATGTATTTTAATTTCCAATTAATTTATTTATGAATACACTTTTAGAACACAGACTCTTTGTAAGTTAGAGATGTCTATGTGCTAGATATAATTTAGATTTCCACATATGGATAGTCTCCCAAATTTGAAATGGAAAAGACCTTATTTATAACAGAATTCATATATTTTATATGAAGGTGGCTTTAATTTTACAAGTGTTGGAAAATATGCTTTAAGAATGATATGCAGCACCTTCTGTCTTCAGCTATATCTTCAATTCATTTAATAAAATAGTTAGCTAGAGCACTTGTCATAGTTTCCATGGCAACACACAGGCCGACTTTAGTAAACAGAAAATAAGCAATTTAAGACTGTTCCATTAGAACTAAATATAGAAGTGCTTCAGGCCAGGCATCACAATACATATTGGTTAAACAGGGAGTCTGAAGAGCTGTGAGAAATAGCCATTATGTACTTTCCTAATGAACCAAAATACATATTGTTTTTACTACTTAAAATGACATTTCCTAGATCATTTAGAATATCATTACGAATTCACAGATTTGATACTTAACAGTTTCAAATCTTCCAACATTTGGGGTACACTGCTAATTGCAAAACAAAATATAAAATATGGATTTCTGAGAAATCCATAAGTATAGGATTTAAGGACAGAAAGCCAATAGGTCTGCAATAGAATATAGAGTTATTTTGTTTTGTGTAATAAATGGAAAACCATGTTTTTAAATACAAATGCTTTCAAATTTGCTGTCTAGTATTGAAAATCATAAAATTATATTGTTTCAGAAAAACAATTCAGCTCTATGCATTGGCTGCACTGCCAATGCATAGATTTGCTGTCTACTATCATTGTTTCCTAAATGTTTCTAATAAACAATGTATCTCCTTTACAGTTGACTGAAGACTCAGTTTACATACTATTCACTTTTAGTTTGAAATTTAATATCTCAATCCATCTTGCATAGCCTTCTGGAAAGAAGACAATGAATGGAGATACATGGGACTTTGAAGAAGAGGAGAATAGAATACATTTTATGGAGCAAAACTAGTTTAGCTTCCCAACTTCCACAACCTCCAACTTCAGTAAATATACACTTTTTTAAAGTGACATTTCCCTAAGAAGTCATCGCTCATACTCCTAAACATTTTTTCCTGGGTGAAATATTGGGGACAAAAGCAATGGAAACATAATCCAGCAAGCACCAATCTATCACTGGAGAAAAAAATAGAAATAATCAATAATGTTTAAACCAGTGAACTAAAAAAAAAAAAAAAACTAGAGAAAAAAAGTCTAGAGCTTGTTAAAATTTAACTTATATCCAAATGAAATCAATAGTGTTTGCTAAGAAACAGCATATTCATACTATTGAAAGCAATATACAGATTCAGTGTAATCCCATCAAGATACCAATGACATTATTCACAGAATTAGAAAAAAAAACATTTCTTAAATTTGTTTGAAAGAATAAGAAACTCAGAATAGCCAAAGCAATACTAAGCAAAAAAAAAAAAAAAAAAAAAAAAATTGAAGCAGGAGACATCACAATACCTGATCTGAAATTATACTACAGAGCTGTATGAACAAAACAGCATGGAATTGGCACCACAGTGCACATGAAGACCAATGGGACAGAATAGAAGACAGAAAGAAATCCACATATCTACAGTTGTGTAATATTTGACAAAGGTGCCAAGAACATATATTGGAGAAAAGACAGCCTTTAAACAAATGGTGCTAGGAAATCTCGATAACTCTGCAGAAAACTTAAGTTGAAATGGATCAAAGACTTAGGGATTAGATGAGAAACTTTACAACTACAATAAGAAAACATAGGGTCAACACTTCATCACTTAGGTGCTGGCACCAACTTCTTTAAAAAGAAGACACTCAAAGCACAAGAGGTAAAATCAAGAATAAATAAGTGGAATGCCATCAAATGAAAAAGCTTCTGCACAGCAAAGGAAATTATTGGGAGCTTAAAAAGAAAACCTATAGATTGGGAGAAAATCTTGGCCAGCTACTCCTCTGATAAAGGATTAATATTCAGAACTCAAAAATATACAAAGAATATACAAGAATATACAAAGAACACCAAAAAAAAAAAAAAAAAAAAAAAACAAAAACAAAAAGCAACCAAACAATTCAATCATAAATGGCCAAAAGAATTAAACAGAAACTTCTCAAAAGAAGAAACACAAATGGCCACCAAATATATGAAAAAAATATTCAACATCATCTCTAGCAGTCTGGGAAATCAAAACTATATTAAGATTTCATCTCACTCCAGTCAGAATTGTAATGACCAAGAATGCAAATAATAATAAATGCGGGCAAGGTTGTGGGGAAAAATATATACTTGTACATTGTTGGTGGGGTTATAGACTAGAACAACCACTCTGGAAAGAAGAATATAGATACATTAAAAAATCTAGGGATGAAACCACCATATAACGCCACTATCTCACTGGTTGGTATTTTCCCAAAACATCTAAAATCAGTATATTAGAGCAATACAGCCACATCAATGTTTATAGTATCACAATTCTAAGTATCTAAACTATGGAATAAGATGCCCATCAATAGATGAATAGATTAAGAAAGTGTGGTCTACATATACAATGTAGTTCTACTCAGCCATAAAAAAGAATTAAATTATGGCATTTGCTGGTAAACAGATGGAGAATATCATGCTCAGCGAAATTAGCCAAACTCAGAAACTCAATGGTCAAATTTTTTTCTCTCATGTGCAGAAGCTAGAGTAATGTAAAAGAAAGTGGGAGGGAAGAATAAGGTAACATAAAGAACCAATAAAACATAAATTAATAGACAAGTGAAAGGAAATGTAGTAAAGGAAGGAGATGGCAAAGGGGAGGAACTACCAGAGGGAAAAGGGGGGACTATGAACTAAAATCAATTTCTATGCAGGTACAAGTTTGTCAGGATGAACTCTCAACTTATATGTGTAATGATAAAACTAATTTAGAGAAAGAAGCATATTTGCAAGAACATTATCCATTATCCATTATTGTAAAGGTGTATATGCAATTATACTGTATAATACTGTATTAGTATTAGTTAGACTCAGGTTCATTTCCAAATTTTGTGTCCTGAATAAAAACACAAATGCCCTGGGCCATTTATGAGAAATAGCTCTCATTTTTACTAAAATTTATAAATTTCAAAAAAGTTCAAATATTGCTATTGAGCCAGCAAACTGGGGGTTATCTGAATAATTATGAAAATTGTATCTTCATTAATAAAAAGCATTTAAAAATACACCAAGCTGCATTTTAAAATAAAAAGCCAGGACTCCTTTTGAGCTGCTTTGAAGGTATGTTATTCTATTGTGGTGTGTGTTCACAGGGCATTCTGTGTTCAGCAGAGAAGCCACCATGACTGGAGTCACCTGGTGGTCATGGAGTCACATGGTAGGGTGGAGAGAGCATGTAAGTCAAAAATAAATCAGGGAGCCACACAATGCAGGTGAAGTTATATATCTGGAACTTTGCTCTAAAAAGGCAGACACTGGAGAGTTTTATGCAAAGGTTGGCATCATTTGACTTAAAACTATCACTCATGTTTGGGCAAAGAAGAGCTTATACCCGAGGCCAGGCTGAAAGCAAGAAAGGCACTTAGAAAAAGAATGCAACAGGATTGGCAAGCTGT